TCATGCTAATTTCTTCTCGACCTAGGTATTTAATAACGCTTAGCACCTTCCAGCCGGGCGTGGTAGCTCACGCCTGTAATCCAGCACTTGGAGGCGAGGCAGGTGGATCATGAGGTCGGGAGATTGAGACCATCCGGGCTAACACGGTGAAACCTGTCTCTACTAAAAGTACAAAAAATTAGCCAGGCGTGGTGGTGGGCGCTGTTGTCCCAGCCACTCAGGAGACAGGCAGGAGAGAATGGTGTGAACCAGGAGGCAGAGCTTGCAGTGAGCCGAGATCGCGCCACTGCACTCCGCCTGGGTGACAGAGTGAGACTCCATCTCAAAAAAAAAAAAAGAAAAAAGAAAAAAAAAAGGAAAACAAAAACTTAGCACCTTAGCCAGGGTGTGTGGACTCATGTCTGTAATCCCAGCACTTTGGAGGCCAAGGTGGGCAGATCACCGAAGTCAGGGAGAGTTTGAGACCAGCCTGGCCAACATGGTGAAACCGTGTCTCTATTAAAAATACAAAAATTAGCTGGCTGTGGTGGCAGGCGACTGTAGTCCCAGCTACTCAGGAGGCTGAGGCAGGAGAATTGCTTGAACCCGGGAGACGGAGGCTGCAGTGAGCCGAGATCGCGCCACTGCACTCCAGCCTGGGCGTCAAGAATGAGACTTCATCTAAAAAAAAACAAAAACAAAAACAAAAAACTTAGCACCTTCCAAGAGGCAGGCATTGTTCTAGGTGCTGGGGATACAGTAATGAACAGGACATGATCCCTCATAGTGCTTCTGCTCTAGCAGGGTGACAAACAAGACAGCCGGTAACTATGATACTTTCAGGGAGTGATCCAGTCAGGGGAGACATCAGTACAGCACGATGGGCTGAAGCGTGCCGGGCAGGTGCATGTTTTAACCTGGAAGACTCCCCTGCCCCGCCTTCACTCACTTCATAGAGAGGAACATCTGTAAGCTGAAACATGGTAGGCAGGGTGGGGGGGTTCTTAGGATCCCCTCTGAGTGGGGACAGATGGCCTGGCTCTGGCATCTTCTGAGACTGGAGTGAGTCAGGTTGTCAGTTCATTTCTAGAGGTAGGACACCATGTAAGAGCACTGGCCAGTCTTAGAGAGTTCTCTTTGTATAAATGGGTCTGGCCACTGGAGCCCAGAGTGGGCAAGGGCCTGGCCTGTGGCGGCACACCGAATAGCAAATAGGGCTCTTTCCTCTATCCCAGGTCGCCGGCCAAGTCATGGTGAAACCTGGATTGACAGAAACACTTGGGGACAGGACTCTAGGGATGGAAAGATCTGGCACCGAGGTGGAGGCTGTCACCACAGCTGTTCCCTGGACACCTGTCTGCATGCTCTGGGTCCTGGGCTTGCCTTCGAAGTGCAGAATTGAGGCTGCTGTATGATGGAAGCCCTTCCCAGCCCCCTTCAATGAGCCCCACCCACAGCAATACCTCAAGTGCCACACCTAGAACCTCAGCTGATTGGCTGCAAACATCCATGTACCCACTGTCAATTCCTTATTAATTTCATCTTTCACTCCATTGTCCCAAAGTCTGCTTTTTCATGCATCCGTTTCCATCTACCCATTAATTTAATTATTACTTCAATAAAGCATTCGTCAATTCATCCATTCATTCATTCATTCATCATTCGTTCAACAGATGTTTACTAAGCATGTCCTTTGTGTTGAGCACGATTTTTGGTCAAATCCTTGGTAAAGGCCGGGCGCGGTGGCTCAGGCCTGTAATCCTAGTACTTTGGGAGGCTGAGGAGGATCACCTGAGGTCAGGAGTTCGAGACCAGCCTGGCCAACATGGCAAAACCCTGTCTCTACTAAAAACACAAAAATTAGCGAGGCGTGGTGATGGGCCCCTGTAGTCCCAGCTACTTGGGAGGGAGGCTGAGGCAGGGAGAATTGCTTGAACCTGGGAGGTGGAGGTTGCACTGAGCCAAGATTTTGCCACTGCACTTCAGCCTGGGTGACAGAGTAAGACTCCATAACCAAAAAAAAAAAAAAAAAAAAAAAAAATCCTTGGTAAAATGCCAGGCCAGGCCAGGCATGATGGCTGATACCTGTAATCCCAGCACTTTGGGAGGCTGAAGTGGGCGGATCACTTGAGGTCAGGAGTTTGAGGCCAACACAGTGAAACCCCATCTCTACTAAAAATACAAAAATTAGCCAAGCGTGGTGGCTCGCGCCTGTAGTCCCAGCTACTCGGGAGTAAGACTCCATAACCAAAAAAAAAAAAAAAAAAAAAAAAAAAAAAAAAATCCTTGGTAAAATGCCAGGCCAGGCCAGGCATGATGGCTGATACCTGTAATCCCAGCACTTTGGGAGGCTGAAGTGGGCGGATCACTTGAGGTCAGGAGTTTGAGACCAGCCTTACCAACATGGTGAAAACCCGTCTGTACTAAAATACTGTCACCCAGTCTGGAGTGCAGTGGTGGGATCTCAGCTCACTGCAACTTCTGCCTCCTGGGTTCAAGCAATTCTTCTGCCTCAGCCTCCCGAGTAGCTTGAATTACAGGCATCTGCCACCACGCCCGACTAATTTTTGTATTTTTAGTAGAGACGGATTTTCACCATGTTGGCCAGGCTGGTCTCGAACTCCTGACCTCAGGTGATCCGCCCACCTCAGCCTCCCAAAGTGCTGGGATTACAGGCGTGAGCCACTGCGCCCCGCTGACTCTGCCATCTTCCTGAGAGTTGGTTTTGTGTGTGTGCGTGTGTGTGTGTGCATGCACACCGGGGGTGTAGGGTGGTGATGGTGGAAGCTCATGATGACACATTACTTAACTGCAAGCACATGTAGAGGGTGTCTGGATCTTCCTAACACCCACCCATCTCTAGGGAGGCAGGACAGGCATGACGGATAGGCACAGGGGCTGTCACTAAGATTCAGCCTCCTGGAATCACTTGTCCTGGAAGCCCAAGGCAATGCTGGCTCTTGCTGAACTCTTCCCACAGCCTCCCTGTTCAAATGAATCTCTGTCTTCTATAATCCCCAGAACCTTGCTAATTCTTCAGCTACCATGCTTTCCTGGGGCTCTGCTCTTTCATTAGAGTTGGCTGGGTATTTGTGTCTGTTGGTCCACTTGTCCACTGGATACCGGGTACTTCTGGGGGGCAACGACACTATTTGCCTTTCTCCCTTCCCCTACCTCCAGCACACACACAGTGCCTTGCAAACATCAGGTCCACTAAGCGTTGCTCACAGAGAATCACTCAGACCGTCGAGAACGCAGCTACAGAACCTGCTCTGCCACCGCCAGCCCTCACCTGGGAACCTGCAGTAGCCTAATTGGTCTCTGGTCATCAAACATGCCCCATCCCCCCGCCCCCCACCCCCCATTCTCCACACTTCAGTCCCAGCAAACCTTTAAAAATGTAAATCTGAACTTGTCAGACCTTTCAGGATCCCCACCGCGTTTAGGATAAAATCACAAATCCTCCCCAATAGCCTAAGAGCCTGGCAAGGTCGACCTCAGCTTTATGTGGAACTTCCCCTTCCTCGTTGCGCTCCAGCCACACCAAATTTCCTTCCTTCTCCGAGCTCGCCAAGTACTTCTTTAGAGCACGCTGTTCCCTCCGCCTGAGACAGTCCTTCACCTAACTCCCCATTCCTCCTCCCCCAGGATCTGCCTCCATCGCACACTGTGCGTCTCCTTTGGGGACATCTGTCCTCTGCCGAGTCCCGGGCGAGCACACAGTAGGCATTCCATCAATATCTGTTCAGTGACTGCAGTTAGCAGCCTTCTTGGCTCCTCATTTCCCTGAGGGTGAGGGTGAGGGCAACTCACTTCTCTGCCCAGTACTGATGGGCTTTACATAGCTCAGTTGGGCGTGGTGGCACATTCCTGTCAAATTTCAGCTACTCGGGAGGCTGAGGTGAAAGGATCCCTTGAGCCCAGGAGTTCGAGAACCAGCCTGGGCAACATAGGGAGACGCCCGTCTCAAAAAAAAAAAAAAAAGCTCTAACGTACCCTGGGGACAGAAAAGCCCTTCTCCTAGAAGGCAGCTAGGACCTAGCTTGGGAGCCCCCAACGCTTTTTCCTTTTTTTTTTTTGAGACGGAGTCTGGCACTGTTACCCAGGCTGGAGTGCAGTAGCACGATCTCTGCTCACTGCAAACTCCGCCTCCTGGGTTCATGCCATTCTCCTGCCTCAGCCTCCCGAGTAGCTGGGACTACAGGCGCGTGCCACCACGTCCCGTTAATTTTTTGTATTTTTAGTCGAGATGGGGTTTCACCGTGTTAGGATGGTCTCAGTCTTGGGTCTCCTGACCTGCCCGCCTCGGCCTCCCAAAGTGCTAGGATTACTAGTGTGAACCCCCGTGCCCGGCCAGCCCCCAACTCTTTTTTACATTTTTATTTAAAAATGTTTATTTTGGCCGGGTGCAGTGGCTCAGGCCTGTAATCCTGGCACTTTGGGAGGCTGAGGAGGGCGGGTCATTTGAGGTCAGGAGTTTGAGACCAGCCTTACCAACATGGTGAAAACCCGTCTGTACTAAAATACAAAAATTAGCCAGGCACGATGGCGGGTGCCTATAATCTCAAGCTACTCCGGAGGCTGAGGCAGGAGAATTGCTTGAACCCAGGAGGTGGAGATTGCAGTGAGCTGAGATTGTGCCACTTGCACTCCAGCCTGGGCGACAAAGCAAGACTCCCTCTTAAAATGAATAAATAAATCATGTTTATTTTTATTTTTGTAGAGCTGGGGGTCTCACTTTGTTGCCCAGGCTGGTTTTTTTTTTTTTTAGACCAAGTCTCTCAATCTTCCTGCCTTGGCCTCCAGCCTCGGCCTCCCAAAGTGTTGGGATTATGCACGTGGGCCATGGCACCCGGCAATCAGAGACTACTGTTGCCCACTCTATCTTGGTTGTGTTCATGCCAGGCTGGGGTGGGGCTGGGACTGGATTATAATGTTATAAGGTGACACAGAGTGTCTCCTGGATCCCGTCGTTTTAGGTGTGCATTTACATCCATCCCCTCTGTACCTGCTAAATAAAGTCTGGGAAACTAGAGTGTGCAATAAGTCCCACAGCTCTGGGTTTCTAGATCCCTAGTGGGTGCGGTCTCTGGAGGTTGGGGATTGGGGCTGCATGCCTTCTCCCTTATCCTCCAGCATGGTCTTCTCAGGGGGTGACCCTCTGACCTCCAGAATTCTCCCCCTCCCTCTCCAGCTGGAAGCCCCAGGCAGGAGCCTAAGGAAGGATGGCTCTGCAGTTTCTTCATCTGTGAAATGGAGCTGATAACAGCACTTACTTTCCAGGCTTATTGTAAGGAATCAGTGAGCTACTACCTTCAAAGAGCTTAGTACTTGGCACACAATACACTCTTTGCTGTTATTACTACCAAATGGAGCATTCCCAGGAGTTGGAATCTGGTCAGCAGGGCTCCCTCCCTGTAAAACCCGGGCTGCAAGAATTACTCCCCACAAGCAACATTCTTTCAACTTTTATAAGAAACTCCAAGAAGTCTATGTGACTCATTTTGAAGTCACCGGGCATGCGTGCAACCACCCACAGATATTTAATGATTGGTTGGGGGGAGGGCACTGGACTAGGCCCTAGAGGCACAAAGATCCGTAGGACCCATTTCCTGTCCTAGGGAGGAGACTCAGACAAACCGATATTCACAATTCAGCCGGGCACGTGGCAAGGCCACCCAGAGATTGTGAGGACAGGAGAGCATTTCAAAGCAAGGCAGCTTGGTGTGCCAGGACAGAGGCAAGGGTATTTTGGGTGCTTGGAAAACCCTGGGGTGAATGGAAGGCAGGCTGTATGGGAAAAATGACCACACACTCCGGCTTTAGGGTGTGAGGTTCATTGGGAAAGACAGGCTGGGCTTTAGGGGTGAGAAACTGGCTATGTATCTACCCAGTAGACTGAGAACCTTCTCTGCCACACCAGGCCGGGGGTGGGGCTGGGGGTGCATTAGACCTTGGACAGAGCCCCTGCTCTCCGGGATGGGTGGACTGCCCAATGGAAGAGACAGTGACAAGACAAGCATTCACAGATTCCACGCCCCTCTCACACCCACCTGCTCCCCTCCCCCCACCCCTGCTGCTAGCCCCGAGGTATCCAGGAGCCTGCTGGAGCCTGGGAATCAAGCTCTGGTCCTTGGTGGGGGGAGGGAGTAGGCTCCAGCTCCCGGGTGGGGTGTGGTCTCCAGGGATGGCATCCTCAGCCCAGGGGTGGGGACTGTACCCCCTTCTCCTTTATCCTTCAGCGTGGTCTTCTCAGGGGGTGACCCTCTGACTTCCAGACTGTTGCCCTTCACCCTCCAGTGAAAGCCCCTGGGCAGGGTCCTAGGGAGGGGGGCTCCAGAGGCCTTTGGTTTCCATGCAGCTGGGAGACAAGGGATGGGCCGTAAAAGACTCTGGGGTGCCCTGGGTGCTCTTGGATTGCTCAGCCAAGGCCGGGGCCTGAGTCAGGTCCAGGGGAGAGCAGGGCCGGGATGCTGGTGCCTGGCCCAGGAGAAGGGAGGGGGCGATGGGCAAAGGGGTCAGGCCGAGGGAGCAGGCGGGGCATCGGGAGTTGAGGGCGCCGAGTGGGGGTGGGAGGACGAGGGGTCCGGCCGGTGCAGAGGGGGAGGCGGCCCCCGGGGAGGGGCACGCTATGTCTTTAAGAGCTGCCTGAGCGCAGGTTGCAGCTGCCTGGCCAGCCCGAGAGACAGCGGAGATTCATTACCCGCCGACACAATGACCATTGATGGCCCCGTGGCGTTATTCAAATCCAGTACCAATTGCAGCCGAGCCCCTTTCTCCGCGCCAGGCCCGTATTGTTGGAGCGGCCCACTAAAAGCCCGCCCCGGCCCCGAGCCGCCAGAGGCGCCCGCTCGGGTTCAGCCCTGCGCCTCGGCAGCCCGCCGGCTCCCAGTCCGGCTCCCCGGGCGCTGCAGGTGACCCGGCGGCGCATTCCAGCACTCTCCGCCGCCCGGGCCACCGCCGCCACCGCCACCGCAGGCGCCCCGGCCGCGACTCAGCCACAGGAAAGCGGAGAGCGCCCGAGCCGGTGCGTGCGCGGGGCTGGGCGGGGGCGGGGGACCCACGAATCCAGCAACCCGGACCCCGGGCTCGGAAACGCGACCCGGCCTGGGGGTCCTGCCTTCCGGATTCCCGGAGAGTCCAGGCTGGGGGCAGGGAGAGGGGAGTCGGGGTTCCCCAGGCCTGACAGAGGAGATTCCCCCTCGACCTGGGGCGGCGCTGAGACCCAACGCGGGCCACTCTGGGGACCCCGGGCCGCGATCGAAGGAGCCACGCCAGGGGCGATGGGGATCCCCGCACAGGGTCAGGATCCGCGTGCTTGCTAGTCCACCTTACCGCCAGATGGGCAGCCGCTGCTGAGCGCCTGCGAGGTGGTCCGACGCGCAGCTCCGAGATGTCCTGGTCTGGCGCTTTTTAGGAGCGAAGCGGAACCCCGCAGGAGACCAGGGCCCTGAACTCAGGGGCTTCGCCACTGATTGTCCAAACGCAATTCTTGTACGAGTCTGCGGCCAACCGAGAATTGTGGCTGGACATCTGTGGCTGAGCTCCGGGCGCAACAGGGGCGGGGGCCGCAGGGACGGAGCTCAGCGCGGGCGAGACCTCTCGGGGCGGCGGCTGGCTGGCCCCAGCGCGAGGATCGCGGTCCCAGCCCGCGCGCACAGGGACGCCGGTCCCTGCCACCAGCGCCGCCATCCGCATCCTCGTCCTTCTTCCTTCTTCTCTGCGGGTGACCAGTACCGGCCGGCAGGGTCCTCCAGTCGATCGCGTCGTTTTTCCTCCTTTCAAATTTCGGCCGGAACGAAGCCTGCACGCAGCGGCGGGGCCGAACGTGGTCCGCCCTCAGCCCAAGCCGCAGGAAGTCGGGGGTGAAAGAGGCCGGCCGAATGCGCCCGCTAACTCGTTTCGCAGTTGTTCTAACTTATCACCCCAATACTCTCTACCTAAACAAAACAAATCCTCAACCAACCCCTAAATCCCAAACAAACCAACCCCTCCCGCAAGCCCTCCGGACGGACCGAGAGGCTGAGCCTCCTCCAGCCGCTGCCAGGGTCCGACGGGCAAGCGTCGCCAACGATGCGCTCCAGCCCGGCAATCGCCTTGGCTTTGGAAATAGAACTTGGAAAAACGAATCCTTTTCATTAAAGAAAAATCTTCGGAGATAGCGGGGTTTTATTTGTTTATTTCCTCAAAAGCAGGGACCAGGAGTTGCTTGGGAGAGGGGCGGTTGGGAGCTGCTGGGGGCTGGCTGAGCCCAGGTCACCTGTCCCCTGACCCCTTTCCAGCCTGGGGCTAAAAATGACCTGAAATCGTCTGGAGTGCCTTGGCCATGGCCAATTTCAACCACAGTGCTTGCACCCCCATGTGCCAAAAAACCCGGTTTTCCCAGCACCTCCTCCTGCCCTACTCTTCAGCATTAATTGGGGTGTGGTGGGAGAAGGGATATCCCACATCAGGCCTCCCACTCTTTGCAGCCAGAGAAACGGATCCTAGCGCCCAGTTTCCAGGACCTGCAATCTGGGGTGTTCCAATCAGGTGCACTGATGGGCTGCTCCTGCAGCTCAGTGGGGTGGAGACAGGGAGGGACCTCCAGGTTACAAGAATGGGACAGGCTGACCTTCTGAAAGTGCAGCGGTAGGGGCTGTTCCAAGTCTCCTGCTTTGTTCCCTAACATGGAGACCCTGACCTCAGGAACTAGTGAGGGTTGGTCACACAGCCTTTCTGGACAGCACTCAGACCCCAACACTAGCCTTAATTTGCACCCAGACCAGCTCCTCCCCATCGTCCCAACACGGCTGCTCCCACTCCACACAAGCCCAGAGGGCTTCTACCTGCAGTAGTGCTGGAGAAAAGCCCACCAGCCGGCAGGTCATCCATCCCCAAAAGAATGATGTATACACCCCATCCCCCAACACTGCTGGGACAACCTTTGGCCACTTCCATCTCCACAGGGTGAGAGGTGAGAAATTCCACTTTAAATTGCTGACATAGAATGAAAAGCACTATTTTGGGTGGGATGACGCTTTTGATGGGATGTTAGCACCCTAATTCTTTTTGGGGGTCTCCCTCCAGCAAACAAAGCTATTTTCTCCAGGTCATGGGAAGGAAAGACCACAGAAAGGGGGCTCAGCAGTCTTATCTATGCCACCCCCATTCTGGGTTCTGAGGCTGCTGGCTGCAGCTGGTGGGACAAAGCCTTGGACAGACGGGTGGGGATGCGCCCTGGGATGCAGACTGGTCAGCACAGACTGACTCTGCCACCCCCTTCTCCAGATGGCTCTATTAGACTACCCTGTCTCAGACTGTCTGAGTGTTCACCCCCACCCCTCTTTTGGGTGAAGGGTGAAGGGTAGCTCTGAGGCTCTAGGCTGAGGATGGAGAGGTTGTATCACAGACCATGGCTGGGGGGATATGAGGTGCCACCTGTTTCCAAGGATGAAGCTCCAAGCAAGGCTAGTAAACAACCTAGTCTTTTATTTGCACAAGGCCGGCTGTTGCAAGCACTGAGGCCCCAAGACTTCCAGAAGGGAAGGGGAGGGGGAGCAAACCACTCTGCCTACCAGGTGCTGCCTGCCCCCTCCTGCTTCCTGCAGGAGGTGGGAAGGGAGAGAAAATGGACATCTGCACCATCAGGTATCTCCCCAGTTTTCAGCCACTATAAATATTCAGTTGTAGGGGAGGAAACTGAGGCACACAGATCCCCCCCAGGCTTCTACTTGCTACTCCAAGGTTTAACTTACTCCCTCCCCTCATCTCTACCCCCAGCAGAATGAGCTGTAAGCAGCCTGGGGAGGGTCTCAGGAGCCCATCTGGTGGCCTGTGGAGGGGGGTAGGCCAGCCAGGGTCAAGGGCTAGGGGTGGGGGGGAGCAGAAGGAGAGGTGTGGCTGGAGGAGCAGCTGCTGGCTGGGGGGAGTCCGCACTGAATAGGGGACCCCAGCTGGGGTTCCATACTGATAGCAGTGGGGGACAGGCAGAGCCCTCAGCTGTCCAGACAGGGAAATTGAGGCTGAGAAGCCTCCAATCTTTGGGTAGGGAGGGGCCTTCCTTCAGCTACTCAGGTCCATTCATCTTCCCCATGAAGATGCTGGCTCTGGGGCTGGAGCACCTTGTCAGCGGCCACTCCATGTTTAGACTGAAGTACAAGGAGTGGAAGGCAGCCAGGTCACCTGGCCACAGAGCCTCCCTCCACTCTTGACAAACCAGAGGGGCACCCTCCCCCATCACAGCTGCTGGAAAAGGGAGTGCTGGGCTCTGGTGCCTGTCTGCCTTCCCCTGCTCACGTGCTTGAGAAAGGCTCATTTTTAGCACCTGGCCTCTTTTCCCTGCCTGGAGGGAGCTTGGGGGACAGAGCAGGGAAGAAGACAGGCAAGGGGGACAGGGAGACCTGGAAGCAGGGCCCAAGGAGATGTCTGATTGCTTCGTTCTCCCCTCTAAGGGTGCCCAGGCCCAGAGAAGGGCCCTCAGCCGCCGTGCAGAGTGGAGATGAAGAGGACGCTGTCCTGGTCCTGAAGCTGATAGTCCAGCTCACCCTGGTGCGGGACAGAGGGGAGTGGGAGACCCTCAGGGCTACCTTCCCGGTTCCACCCCAGGAGTTGGGAGAGCAGGGGCTGAGGACTGGCTGCTCTGGAAGAGACAGACTGTACCAGAAAAATGCGTATCCTATACCTCAACCTGCAAATCTTCAGGATGGAGGGCTGCTCCCACGTCCCCAGCTACCCATCCCTTCCTCACCTGGAGTGAGAGACTCCAGCAGCCTCAGTGTGGGGCTGGAGTGGGGCGGAGGATTACCCAGCCACTCTATATGTGCCTGAGAGAGGCCCAAGGCTTTCCCACTGAAGCAGCAAGGGCAAGGGCTGGGGGAGGGATGTCACCCGAGGTACTGACCAGTAGCTCCCAGTCGGCATCGTTAATCAGCACCAGAATTCCTGGCCGCCTGTGGGAAAGATAGTGGTGAGTAGCAGGGAGTGAGAAGCAGGAGGCGGTAGCACAGAGGAAGAGAGGCTGAGAGCTTTGGGCTGCAGGAGAGCAGGAGAGTGCGCTGGGGAGCCTTCCTCCTGGGGTCTGGCTAAAGATCTCCCAGGAAGGGGAGGCTGGTCTGAGTGTGAAGGAAACCAGGTCAGACAGTCATGCATGGTCTTTGTAGCCAGATGGAAAATGGGTGCAAATGCCAGCCAGCACCACCACCCAGACCGTGGGCAGGTCATTTTGTTTCTGAGTATCAGGTTCCTCATCTGAAAATGGGATAAGTGATAGTGTCTGTCCCACAAGGCCTACACGAAAACGAAATCAGCTGGTATGTGTGGAGTTCTTGCCACACAGTCACGGTAATCATTAGTGGGACTTTTCCAGGGGTCTAACCTTACTCTCATTAGCCCTGGAAAAGAACTTCAGCTTTTTTTAGGTCTCTGCATGCACATCCTGGAGAGGAGGCTGTTTTGCCTCTTCTGAATCAGTTGCCATGCCACATGGCAATGTTCATGTGCAGTCCTGCCTGGCATAAGGCAGCGTAGGTCAGCATTTGGTCAGGCAACTTAGCCTGGCTCCCACTGGTAATGGCCCAAGGAGCGCTGCTGGCCTTAGAGGTGGCCTCCAGGACCACTGGACCATGACCTGAAGGAGGGCTGATCCCCTAGGACCTCACAGTGACCTATGCTTCGAGGCAAATAAGCGAGCCTCACAACTGCACCGGCCACCTTTCACAAGGGGGACTGGCCTTGTTTTAGAAGTAACTTCTTGGCAACTGGAACCTGGTCCTTTCCAAGGAGACTGCTCTGGGCTTCTGTGGGGTGTCCCCAGTGAGTGTGTGTGCATGTGCATGGGTGTGTGCATGCACAGAGTCAGTGACTCCTTGGAATTCTAGACCTGTGCTGCACCGTATGGTAATCTACTAGCCACATGTGGCTATTTAAATTACAATGAAATAAAATACAATATTTAGCTCTTCAGTTGTACTAGCTACATTTTTGCCTCAGCACTTTCTGTGTAGAGAGTAACTGAGGCCCAGAGAAGTGAAGTAAGTCGTCTAAGGTCCCACAGCAAGTCTGTGGCAACCAGAGGGCAGAATCCAAGTGTTCTGAGAAATTCACCAGGCTCCTTTCATCTGGGATTTTAAAAATCCTCAAGAGTTTGGTTTTAGGAACAAGAAAACTGAAAATAGATCTCAGACTATTTTCTGGAGGAGTCAAGGAGGAGGAAGGGGAGAACCGGATTCAGAGAAGGCCAGGACTGAACCCGAGGGTGGGGGCTCAGATATCCGTCCCTCCCTCCACCCTCTTCAGGGAAGGGAGGAATGGGACTCACACGCTGTCTCCCTGGATGAATAACTCTGGCCGCTCTTTTAGCAAATTCTTCTTGATCCAGACGAGCAGGTTCCGGATGTCCCCTGGAGAGGAATGCACAGAACAAACTCTAGTCAAACTCAAATGACACCTGTCCCCCCAGAGCCTTGCCTGGCCCAGAAGGAAATACACATGGGGTTTAGAGGGCTTTTTTTAGATCAGGCTGTGATGGCCCATGAACTTGTACATTCCAAAGGTGAGGAAACAGGTTAGGACAGGCCGGTGACTTGCCAGGTGGATCTTCAGAGACAGCTGCACATGGCACTGCTGAAGTCCTGGAGAAGAGGCAATGGGATTTACCTATAGTGGAGGGATTCCAGGCAGATGGCGGGAGGACTGTCGCATCTAAAGGGTTAGGAGACAAGCCCCTAACCACGAGTCCTGGAAGCCAGTCTCCAACTGCCATGGCTGGACTTCTGAGAGGACTCTGAAGAGCCCCCTCCACCTTTCTCTCTCCAGCCAGTCCCAGATGGGAAGGCTTCGGCTTTGCTCTTGGAGGGGGCTGCATGTATTTCCCTTTGTGAGGGGAAAAAAACAATTGCTGAGCTGATAACATCAGTTAATTTCCTCCGGCAGAGAGAGAGAAGGATCATTCACCAGCCAGGGATGCTGACAAATCCCCGCTCTACTCCCCTGCCACCACCCCACGCTTCCAGAGCCCTCCACGCCAGCGGTGGCCAGAGATTCGGGTGACAGGGCCTCTCCTGCTCAGCTAACACTGAGATCTGCCTCCTTGTGGTTCTAGGAGAGCCACCAGTCTCTCTGTATGTCACGTGGAGGCTCAGAGTCACCTGTCTCCAGGGTCACCTCTCCTTTCCTAGGGGC